CACGCCTTTAATCCCAGCACTCAGGAGGCAGAGGCAGGCAGACCTCTGTGAGTTCAAGGCCAGCCTGGTCTCCATAGTGAGTTACAGGACAGCTGGGGCTACAGGGAGACCCTGCTTCAAAAAGACAATAATAGTAATAATAATAATAATTAATAATAATAATTAAATGAATGGAAAGATAATGCTATGGGTCCAGTGAGATGGTTCAGTGATCCTGGGAACCCACGAAAGTGGAAGGAGAGAACCAATTCCTGCAAGTTGTCTTCTGATCGCCACATGACCCCCCCATCCCCATAAATAAATGTAAAAATTTTAAAGGTAATGTTAAGATGCAACTTTTTTAAAAAAAGTTTTAAGTATGTTAACTTAGTCAACATTGCAACCTGGTGAAGTACAGTTACTATTTCTATTTTATACGAGGAGAAACTGAAGCTGAGAGCTGAAATTCCTCAGAGCTTTTATGTACAAGTCTCGGGGTTCTGACCAAGCTTTTGATACAGACTTCCCTTTTAGTTGGGTGCTTGTCTCTTTGTTATCTGTGTGCTTGGAGTTGAGGGATTGTTCTGTACCCAGGAACACTGATTATTCTTATTTCTGTATTGATGCCAAACCTTTTAGATCTTTTTACAGTTTAAAATATATTTCTGGAGTTATGGCTGCATAACAGGTGCTCAAATTCCCCCCCCCCCAAGAACAGTGAAAAGAGGGATGGTGAGATGGCTCCGCAGGTAAAGGCACTTGCTGCGAAGCCTGATGACCTGAGTTCAATCCCTAGGACCCACATGGTGGAAGGAGAAAATTCCTAATAGTTGTCTTCTGATTTACACATGGGTGTTGTGGTGTTCACACATATTCGTACACATGTAATTTTAAAAATTAAAACAAAAGGCAACTACAGCTAGGTGTGGTGATGTACATCTTTAGTCCAGCACTCAGGAGGCAGAGGCAGGCATCAGGCAGATCTCTGTGAGATCGAGGCAAACCAGGTCTCCAAAGTGAGTTCCAGGCCAGCTAGGGCTACAGGGAGACCCTGTCTCAAAAACAACAACAAAAATAGTACAAAGGCACTCAGGACAACTCACATGATTGCTTTCCAAAGAGACATCATTTGTTTTCCGGAGTTGTTAAAAGTCATACAGTCTCTGATGCTGCAGGGTCACAACAAACTCTGGAGGGTAGGCGATTATCAGAAGACCACACAACTGAGAAGCCTGTCATCAGAAGTTCCAGCAATTGCCCCACCAGAAGCTGACACCCCCAGTGAGGCAGGCACCATCATGCCTCAGCAGCTCCTCATCACCCTGTCCACGGAGACCAGCACCTGGGTGAAGTTGCACAGTCCAAGGAAGGCGAAGAAGGGGGCATCCCTGTGGGGAAATGGGACTAAAATGTTTGAAGAAGGTGAGAACAGACTGATGAAGGTGGCAGGGGGTCTCAGGCGAAAAGATGCACTTCATTGGAATGGTCTCTTGGGAAAAAAATTAGGGATAAGAAGGTCTTTGTGGGATTCTTGTTCGTGGTTTGGGGGTTACGAGATATCTGTGAAAGAAAATGCTGGGTTCCCAGCTCTGGTTCCTTGTGACTTTACTCTGTGCTGCTCACATTTTCCACGCCCAGATACAATATACAACAGGAAGACAGGACACAGGATGTGCCCTATTAATGACTCCTGAGTATGGGAATGTGATTCAGAGACGGGGTAGAAGATGGGACACGGGGACTTGGAGTGAAAGTATCAGAGAGGGACTAGTGGGGAGAAAGATTCCTTAATGCCCAGGTTTTCTGCAGAGGTTCCAGTCATCTTAGCCCCAAATCAATTTTTGATCTGTAGAATCAATTTTCTGTTTTTTCTTCCTCTGAGAGGCAGGAATGATTTGCCTGATTACTCTCATCTAAACTGTGGTTTCAGTTAGAAGACATGCCCAATTGGGATCATACCTTATTTAATAGTCTATTCAAGAGTAGTTGTTGGGGCTGGAGAGATAGCTCAGTGGTTAAGAGCACTGGCTGCTTTTGCAGAGAACCAGGGTTCGATTCCCAGCACTCATATGATGGCTAACAACCATCTGTAACTCCTGTTCCAGGGGATCAGATACCCTCTTCTGACCTCCGAGGGTTTTTGCACAACACAGGTGCACTTACATATAGGCAAAATACTCATACACATTAAAAAAAAAAAAAAAAGAGTAGCTGGGCAGAGAATAAATGTATTTCCTGTGGTCTCTTCATTCATATCCATAATACTTTGCATTCACAGTGTTTTTTATGTTCTAGCCGAGGGCCTTTGCTAAGCATCTTAATAGATGAAAGAAAGAATAATCACTTCTTTCTGTTGTTTTGTGACAGTGTCTCATGTAGCCCAGGCTGGCCTCCAACTTGCTATGTAGTGGAGGCTAGCCTTGAACTCCTTGTCCTTCAGTGTTCACCTCTGAGTGCTGGGATTAGAGGTATGCCTGGCATGAATAATTATCTCTAATACTTTTAAATACTTTTAAATTAATTGATGAGGTAGCTATACAGATAAAAATAGCAGCAGATAACTTAAGATCTTTTGGAATATAAGGGACAGGAAAGTTTCTTCCAATTGCATGTACTGAGACATTTTCATGAGGCAGATACTATTGGATTGAGCCTAGAAGTGTCTTAGTTTTTTTGTAGATGATTGGAGGAAGGATAGAAAATTGGGGATCATAAGAAGTGGTTCATGCTGGGCATGGTGGTGCATGCCTTTAATCCCAGCACTAGGGAGACAGAGGCAGGCAGATCTTTGTGAGTTCTAGGCCAACCTGGTCTACATAGTGAGTTCCAGGCCAGCTGGGCCTGGGGCTGTAGGAAGACCCTGTCTCAAAAAGACAAAAGAGCCAAAAAAAAAAAAAAAAAGTCAGGAAAACAGCAAAATAGAATGTGCTGTGGGTGTGTAGTGTCCCATGTATAGAAGATGGTAGTTTGGAGGTTGTTGAGAAAATACGCCTTGGGCAGATCCTAGAATGCCTTGAAGTCTATGGAGAAGGGTTTTTGGGTATCTCCTCTGTGTCTATCTGTGCTTTTGGATCAGCATGGACCACTGGGAAATATTAATGCTCAAAGCACACATACTGCTGGTCCTCCTCATTTAAAAAATATTTTATTATTTTTATTTTATGTGTATGAGTATATTGCCCACATGTATATAGGTACGCCATGGCATGCAATGCCCTCGAAGGTCAGAAAAGGGCATCGAATCCTCTGGAACTGGAGTTGGGATGGTTGTTAGCCACCATGTGGGTACTGGGATTCGAATCTGGGTCCTCTGCAAGAGCAGCCAGTGCTCTTAACTGCTGAGTCATCTCTCCAGCCCCTGATCCTCCCCAGTAAATGAACCTGGAAGTGTTCTTTCTTTCCTCCTCTTTTTCTCTTCTCTTCCTCTCGTACTCCCTCTCCTGGGGGTGGGTCTTCTGTCTAGTTGGCCTTGAGCTTTAGGCAGTCCTCCTGTCTCAGCCTCCTGTGTGCTGGGATTACAGGTGTGTGCCACCATATCCTGCTTTGTTTTGTTTGAGACAGTGTCTTGCTATGTGGCCCATGCTGTCCTCACATTTGCTATATTCCTCTTGCCTTCGTCTCCTGAGTGTTAGGATTAAGTTGTACACCTCCAGGCCCAGCAGGTCACCCTGTCCCTCTTTACGTATTGGTGGAGGACCCCAGCCAGTGAGTCTTGAGGCAGTTTTTCTCTGTGTTGGACCTGGGAAGGTACAAACCTCAGGGTTCTTTTCCTTCTCCAGCTCTGCCATCTAAGGATGCTGATGAGGCCCATCGAGAAAGTTCAGAGGATGAAGTGACCCCTGGGCTCCTGGCAGCTGCATCTCAGGTGGGTTGGAGTTTCCTCTCATTTCCTTGACATTCCTCCTTGGTTTTTAAAGATAACAGCCTGCTTTTTGGAAGTGGAAGTGGTTTGAGACTAATCAATTCAATCTAGGGTGCTCTGAACAAGTTGCTCATGAACAGAAAGCCAGGCTTCTGTGGTGGCAGTTTCCATTTTCATCTGTTTAACTCTTGTTTCTCACCAATAACTAGGACTAATGCTGTCCTAATTTCAGGGTAGAAAGCAAAGTGAATGATACTGTTCTGTCCCCAAAAAGCCAACAGACATCACTTGGCATCTAAGATTAACATCAGTGAAATAATTAAGGCATTAACTCAGTGGTTAAGAGCACTTGCTGCACAACCATGAGGACCTGAGTTCAGATCCCAGTGTTTACATAACAAGCTGGGTGTGGTCTCATGTGTACTTGTAACTCTACTGATATAAGGGATGGAGACAGTAGGGTGGCTGGGCTTGTTCGTTGCCAGCCTAACCACAAAAACGAAAGCTCCAGATTCAGGGAAAGACCCTGCCTCAAAGGAATAAGGTGAAGAGTGTGATAAAGGAGGACAACTGTGCTAGATAGCTTTAGTTGTCAACTTGACACACCTGGATTGAGGGAGCATCAGTTGGCGAATTGCCTTCATTGGAGTGGCCTGTGGCCATGTCTGCGAGGGTATTTTCTTGATTTCTGAGTGATGTGGGCAGGCCCAGCCCACTGTGGGTTGTTCTGTATTGCATAAGAAAGCAGACTGAGCATGGGGTAGGGGAGCAAGCCAGTAAACAGCGTTCCTCCATGGCTGTGCTTCAACTCCTGCCTCCAGGTTCCTGCCCTGAGTTCCTATCTTGGGCTCCCTGATGATGATGACCTGGGAGATGTAAGCCAAATAAACTCTTTCCTCCCCAAGTTGGTATTGGTCAGACATTTTTGTCATGGCAATTAAAGGCAGACTAGAACAACACCCCAAACCCTCCTCTGGCCTCTATATACACAAGCACAGATGTGTACACTTGCACATGACATGCACACATACACCACACACACACACACACACACACACACAATTAGAAAATCAATTTCCAAATATTAATCATCAAAACATATGTGAAAATTAAGTTCAAGATTCTTAGTAATCTGTGCACATCACTGTGGCCCTTCGAATAGCATTACGAAGCAGCTAAGGGAGATGTGAATAGAGAAAAAATGGCCAGGAAGTTTCCTGGTGCCCCTTTCCCATCAGTGATCTGTTCTATCTGTTCTACCTCCTGTAGAGAGTACATGAAACTTGTGTATTATTTCTTATAACTGCATTTTATTTTACAAGTGTCTTAAAGAGTTCAATTTTAAAAAGAATTGGGGCTGGAGAGATGACTCGGTGGTTAAGAGCACTGGCTGCTCTTTCAGAGGACCCAGGTTCAATTCCCAGCACCCACATGGGTGGCTAACCACCATCCATAACTCCAGTTCCAGAGGATCTGATGCCCTCTTCTGACTTCCTTGGGTACTGCATGACACGGGTACACTTACATATATGCAGGTAATACATTCATACACAGAGAATAAAAATAAATCTTTTAAAAGAATGTATATTCTGCACTTGTTAGAAATAATGTTCTGTAGATATGTAGGTTATGCTAGTTGTAGTATTGTTCAAACCTTCTATATCCTTGATGCATTTTTTGTTTTCCAGACAAGGTCTTTTATAGCCCAGGCTAGCCTTGAACTCCCTATGTGGAATTCACCCTGTATTCAAGGATGAGCTTGAATTTCTGATGCTCCTGCCTTACCTCCTAAGTTCTGGAATTACAGGTGTGCACCATCACATTCAGTTTATGTGGTAGTGGGGATTGAGCCCAGAGCTTTGTGCATGCTAGGCAAGTACAGCCCCAGACCCCTCTTTGATGCATTTTTGTCTCCTGGTTCTATCAGTTACTGAGAGGATGTTAAAATCTCTGATTTTGTCTCTTTAGTTCTGTCAATTTCATGTATTATTTGGAAGGAAATAGGTTTTATTCATCTGACCTTGAGGAAAATAAATTTTGCTTCATTTATTTTCAAGTTCTCCCATCAAAAACAAGCACTTAGGATTGCCTTCTTAGATTGACCCTCTTGTCCTTATAAAATATCCCTGACTAGCCAGGCGTGGTGGCACACGCCTTTAATTCCAGCACTCGGGAGGCAGAGGCAGGCGGATCTCTGTGAGTTCAAGGCCAGCCTGGTCTACATAGTGAGTTCCAGGACAGTTGGGGCTACAGGGATCCCTGACTTGTGGCTATGCCACCCTGTACCTACTAGTCTTGTTGAAATGTGCTTCTTTTTGTCTAGTGGTATGCCTTTTCCTGCAGGCTGCTCTGGCTGACTTAGTTTAGCTCCGCCAGTGTTTTTCCATTATTGTTTACACAGAATCACTTTTATATCTTTTTACTTTAAGCCTATTTGTGTCTTTATATGTAAGGTGTGACCTTAAACATGACTGGATCTTGCTTGATTAGTCCATTTATACAGTTAGCCATCAATACTGTTGGTTCTAAGTGATTTTGTTCTTGGTGCTGTCTGTATTTCGTTCTTAGTTCGTCTTTGCCTACTTTCTTTCGGATTAATTTTTCAGTATTCCATTTTATGTCTTCTAATGATTTTTAGGCTGCTTTTTAAAAAATGTTTTATTATTTTTATTTTATGTGTATGAGTGTATTGCCTGCATGTAGGTAAGCGCACCCGTGTTGTGCAATGCCCGCAAGGACAGAAGAGGCCGTCGGATTCCCTGGAACTGGAGTTACAGACAGTTGCTAGCTGCCATGTGGGTGCTGGGATTCGAACCCGGGTCTTCTGCAAGAACAACCAGTGTTCTTGACACTGAGCCACCTCTCTAGCCCTAAGCTGTGTATTTTAAGCCAGCACGGTGATGCACACTTGTGAACCTGGCTACTCTGACGTTTCCATCAGTCTAGTCTACTTTGCATTTGTATTTTTCACCTGTGGAATATTCATTTACTCCTCTTCCTCCTCTTCTTCCTCTTTCTTCCTCTTTTCTTCCCTTTTTTTTTTTTGATACAAGGTCTCCCTGTAGCCACAGCTGGCCTGGAGCTCCCTATGTAGACCAGGCTGGCCTTGAACTCACAGAGATCCACCTGCCTCTGCCTCCTGAATGCTCGAACTAAAGGCACCATACCCGACTGTTCATTTACTTCTTAGTGTTTGTACATCTCTCTTCAGTTATCCTCAATCTCTTCATCCATTTTGTCTGTACTTTTTTATAATTTTTAAATTATTTTTTACTTGTATGTGTATGAGTATTTTGCTTGCATGTGTATAAGTGCACCTTTGTTGTACAAAGCCCACAGAGGCCAGAAGAGGGTGGTAGATATATTGATTTTTATTTTCTTGATTATTGATCATATTTTTCCCTTCAGGTTTACAGACTATTAGTTTCTGTAATCAAACCCATATATTAAACATTTCTAAACCAATATGGCTGTTAATTTCTGTACAACACTAATAGTAAACTGGATTTTTTTGGAAAGTTGACAGCACAGCTAAAGTTTCTAAAAATTTAAATATATATATATATATGTTTTTGTATATTTATATAAAAAGATCAATAATAAGGACTGGAGATGTAGTTGGTAGAGTGCTTGTCTAATATGCACGAGGCCCTGGGCTCAATCCCCAGCACCATAAACTAGTGTGGTGAAACACATCTGTAACATTCAAGGTTATCCTCAGTTACACGGAGAGTTTAAGGCCAGCCTGTGCTACATGAGACCCTATCTCAAAAAACAACAACAAAAAAAAGTTGGTGGTTGAGATGGCTCAGCAGGTAAAGGCACTTGACAAAGCCTGACAACCTGAGTTCAATCCTTGAAACATACTTGTTAGAAGGGGAAACCAACTCCCCCGGGATCCATGTGGTAGAAGGAGAGAACCCTGGTGTATGTGTGTGTGCGCGCGCGCGCGCGCACACACACACACACACACACACACACACACTAAGTAAATAAAAGAAAAAGAGGCTGGAGAGATGGCTCAGCGGTTAAGAACACAGGTTGTTCTTGCAGAGAACCCAGGTTCAAATCCCAGCACCCATATGGCATCTAACAACTGTCCATAACTCCAGTTCCAGAGCCTCTTCTGACCTCCATAGGCATTGCACAACACGGGTGCACTTACCTACATGCAGGCAATACACACATACACATAAAATGAAAATAATTTTTTTAAAAAAAGAGAAAGAAAAAGCCCATCAATAAGAGCAGTATGTTATGCCTCAGTGGCAGCAACAGCTTTTCTAGATTCTGTAGTTATCTGAACAAAATGTAGAGGCATTCAGCATGCTCCATTAAAAAAGAAAGTAAAAGCTGGGCGTGGTGGCGCATGCCTTTAATCCCAGCTCTTGGGAGGCAGAGGCAGGTGGATCTCTGTGTTCGAGGCCAGCCTGGTCTATATAGTGAGTTCCAGGATAGCTGGGGCTAC